ATGTAACCTTCATAAGTAGAAAGTGAACTTCTCCTTGAAGAAAACCGGTTGTGACAGGGGCAAAAAGGAACATCAGGTCCAAGTGGGATCATGTTTTATTCAGGGTTTGTGCTGCTGGTGGGGAGGCCAGCGCTCCGTGCCAGGGCGGGAAAGTGGGGCACCCCGACTCCGAGCCCCATCCACTCCGCCACGAAGTTCTTCTCGCTTCACTGAGCTTGGCTCCTGGGACCTCTAATGGCCCTCGCTGGCAAACACAGTTAAAAATTAACAGACTGACACAATTAAATATGGATGACAGGCGGCCACCGTGGACTTGGCCTGACACAGAGCGTTACACGCCTGGGTGCCCTCGTCCCAAGCGGCGTCCGGGGTGAGCTCGTGGGGTGTCTGAGCACATCCTGCATGCCTGCCTGGCAGCGAGGGCCTGGCCTGTGCTCAGGACAGACAGGGAGGGAGTCTGCACGTCCGGGAGAGAACTGTCCCCGAAGACTTAGGTTTGTTAGGCCCAGCCTTGGCTGGTGTTAGCAGGAGGCATGCCCAGGCCCAGCACCTCATGTTTGGGGCGTAGATGTGGTTCCTGCCCGGCACAGACCTCGGCAGCGCCCAGTCGGACCGGGAGGGTGGCGGGAGCTCGGGCCCGGCTGCAGCGTGGCTTTCTCCTGCCAGGCCTCCTGCCCCAGCGGCTCGGTCGGATAGGGTGGCATCCTGAACTTCCGAGCCAGTTCCCACGAGTCTTGCCAGTTTGCCTGGAGAGTGGCAGCTTGTTGAAGGGAGAGTATGGGGTGGGTGTTCCCTTACAGAGCGATCGCTAGGGGGCCTTATTTCTTGGTGAGTGTGGACTTTGGGGATGAGGCGTGGGTGTGCCTGGCCAGGCAGCCTCCTCCCTCGGCCGGGCCGGGCAGCCTTTAGCAGAGTTTGCCGTGGGACCTGGTGGGCTTTGCTGGGTGGCGCTGCCCCAGAGCTCCGGTCCTTGGCACTGGAGTGGGCGGGCTAGAGTTCACTGTGATGGTGTGTGAGTGGCAGCTGTTGGGGAAGCCCCGGCAGGACACTCAGGGACGCCTCTTAGGGACGGGGTAGAAACCTGCCTGAGAATGTCCGAGCCTTGGAAAGCAGGGGGAGCCGGGCTCGGGGGGTGGTGCTGGGGAAGCCCGCGCTGTGGTGCAGCAGCTGTGTGCGGGACCGGAGGCCAGCCCTCACCGCTCCTCTAGACTAGGTGTCTGGGGCACCCGCTGGGCGGTGGTCTTCCAGCTCCAAGTGGCGTCCCATCTAGTGGTGACATCCGGCAAACATCACCACTAGGTGGGGCCTTCCAGACGAACATTTCTCAACACCCATGATTTTTATTAGCTGTTACATAACGAAAAGATTCCATGGTCCGATAAACTTGGAGAATCCAGGGTCCAATCAAGTCAGACAAGTTTCTTTATTGTGGAACTTCTCGGCCTTAAAACAAGCAGTGTGCATGCAGATCTGCTGTGGGGATACTGTGCCCCTCCCGTACCTGTTAGGCTGTGGGGCGTCTCCCCCAGCCTCCTCCTGGCCACGTTCTCGGAACAGGTATGCGGGGACAGCATCTCTCAGGCTGCAGCACATGTATCATCGTTCCCTGGGAGTGGGGAGGGGGCTTGTTAGATGCAGGTGCTGAAGGTCTGGGTGCCGCACCCCAAAAACCAGAGATCTAGACTTACCCCTTTACTCCACAGGGAAGAAAGTGGCTAAACCCAGGGGTGCAATTACTAGTAGCTCCCACAATTGAGCCAGGCACCTGGTAAGGACGTCTTGTGATTCTTTGTAAAGGCAAGTGTGATGCTGGGAGTCGGTGGCTTGAAGGGGGTAGCACCGTGCAGGTAATTCCGCTGCGAGTGCCGCGCACGGTGCTCCTCACAGGCCGCTGTCGCCGGGCTGGGTCCTCCTGGCCTTGGCAGCATTGTGGGGAAGTCAAGTCTGCATTTTAATCCTCTGGGCGTCCATTAGTTTCCTCGTGGAAATTATTTTTATGGGTATAGTTACTAATTTTTCTAGCATTCCACTTTATTTTTGCTTTTGCCTTTCCAACTCCCCACGCTGCGGAGTTGGAGGCCTCGGTGGGTCCGTTTGGACCGTTTCTGAAGTACGGTGGTGGAGTCGCAGGCAGTGCGGCTGCAGGGTTGGGGCAGGAGTAGCTGTCACTGTCATTAAGTTCCAGTGGAGAAGTGTCCCAGGGCCTTTGTGTTCCATATTCTCTGCGGTGTGTCACAATACGTGCGACGTGCTTAGCCGTCTCTGGCGCAGAGGAAATAGTCAGTGTTTGGGTTATAGATGCTGTGTTAGAGGTTCTTTCAGGGACTTCAGACGCCCCTCGAATCACATGCAGGATTGTGAGTGTGAGTTTGTACGAGTGTGAGTGCACGTGCATTTTCCTGAAGATTTTACCTGGAAGGTCAGGCACATAGACCGAGTCCCTGCTGAACTGTCCGCAGAGCCAGAGTCAGAGAAGTGGGGGTTTCTCCAGTGCTGGTGACACCCCTAAAGCAGCCCCTGCACAGCGGGCGCGAGTGCCCACCTATGGCCAAAACCACAGCAGAACAGGCAGCCCAAGTGGGTGGAGGGTTAAACCTTCTGCTTTCCCCCAGAGGGCAGCAGTGAGTAGCACAGAACTGTGTGTGCACCTGGGCCAGCTGCCTGAGCCCCTTTTGCCCTAGGAGCCCTGCTGCTCCGCCCCTCTGTGAAATGCTGATGAAAAGCTCTGGCTGGGCCTAGGGGCACTGCCCTCTGCTGGAAGGTGGGCGCAGATGCACCCTCGGAGCTGGAAGAAAAGGCAGCCTTGGGTGTCTGGAATGCGGGGAGCAGAGTCTGCCCTCTTGACAGGTGCAGTGGTTTCCAAGCCTTGGGGCACAAGAGTGATGGATTTCAGGCCCTGTCTTTACTCCCTCACCTCCACATTCTTCCTGGGAATCAGCCAGCTGGCCGACTTCACCTCAGCTGAGCTGAGCACAGCTTTTCCTGGACCCCACAGCGCAAATCAGCCTGCTTGTCGCCCCGGAGGGCCCGGGGGTTCTAGACCAGGCCGACTGGCGCGCTGGTCCACGAGCTGCAGGCCCGTGGCTGTGTGACTGAGAGTGCGAGGGCTGCGTGGGTGGAAGAGGCTGGAGCGCGAGAGGCTGGAGCGGGTGCGTGGGAGATGAGGGCTTCCTTCCCGCAGTCACCTGCACTGAAACGAGCCTCCTGCCATCCACCCCGCGGCTCTTCCTGTGTCTCCTCTGTGAACACCGTCAGGCCTTGGCATTGTGGGCTGGGCGCCCCAGCCCCACACCCGGGCAGCACCAGCCACCACCACTGCCCCCAATCCTGGTGCACACAGACTCCCCCTCCACTGTGTTTAGGTCCCCAGCCCTCCACCTGCCATAGGGCTGTGCCCCGCCCTCCCCTCCCCCACCTGTCTCGGGAAGGCAGCTCCAGCTCTGCCCTTTGCTTAGTGAGCAAGTGGACTCAGATGCACAGAGCTATAACCATGGGTAGGTACGCGTTTTTTTTTCCTTTGTGTCTGTCTCCCTCGCCCCCCTTCCCCTCCCCTCTCCCTTCCCTCTCCCTTCCGGTCCTCCTGCCGCCCACATTTCCCCTCTTTGTTTCTCTCCTTTGCCCTGCATACGTCCCTAAATTCCCAGGGCAACGTGTCTTTTAGCCGACCTGCTTGAAAAGCCTCCCGTCCCGTGTCTCTTTAATTGTGGGTGTGTTGAAACAGCTCTGGCCTTGCCTTAAATGAGCTTCAGTGCCTGCTGGTGGCTCTTGAGGAACACAGCTGTGCCCTCTGACCATCTGGGGGCCCCCTTAAGCCGGTAACCTAATCTGGTGTGGTCCCTCAGAGGGCCTCGAATGCACCGTGGCCCAGGGGGTTCCCTGAGGTGGACCTGGTGCAGGCAGACACCCAAAATGCATCCGTGGCCCTTTGAGGTATGTTTCCCGAGAGGGGAGACTGGGCACCTCCACCCAGGTGGAGAGAGAGTCCCGAGGGTAGCCCTGCACCCTGCACGGGCAGCGTGAGAGGAAATGACCACTCTGGGGGCGGGAGGCACGTGGGGGGTGTTCCGAGAACTTTGTGGGGAGCCGGCAAAAGGCCGGGGATACTATTGTGGGCTTTTCTAGGTCCCTTTGTTAGACAGCCCACTTAGGAATCGGATCAGTAGAGCTAGTGATCCTGAGCCCACTGGGCCCTGTGACCGTGGGGGGTTATCCTTTGGGATAGCAGGACATAGCTCACCCCCACCCCAGCCCTGTAAGTTCCGGGACGATGAGGCGGGGGCCACTGGGATCTGCAGAGTTGCCTTGCAGGCCTCGGGCCCCTGCACCTCCATTTCCACCAGAGTGATGCCTCATCTGTTGGTGAAGAAGGGGTTTTGCTGCAAAGTACATTTTATTAAGCCGCTGAAGTAGATTTGTCCTTCTGCCCAGTGGACAAAGCATCACTCAGTCCATTTGTGTTTGGGGCTGCCCGCCTTCTCTGGAAACCCAGTGGAAGAGGCGGGGCTGCAGGTCCCTCTAAGCCGTGAGCAGCGGGCACAGGGCACCAGACACCACACGGTGCCGAGAAGGCAAACTCTTCTCCTTAAAGAACAGGAAAAGAACCTGGTCCTGGCCCGGCTGGTGGCACAACCTGCCCCTCCCTCATCAGAGCAGATCCATGTCTCCACATGCTGCTTAGGAAACCGCTGGGCAGCCTGCCCGCCAGCCTACTGAGCACAGCCTACAGTCCCACAACCGCCTAGGTGGGACTGAGTGCCGCAAGGGGGGCTCGGGGCCGGACTTCAGCCGAGCCATGCTGGTGATTCGGAAATGGAAGGCCACCGGGGCTCTTGGAGGTGGGTGTTCTCCTGACGGCGTGGCCTCAGTTCTCCAAGGGTGTGGAGGCGTCTGGAGGCAGCGCCAACCCCGGAGAACTGGCCGCCCAGCAGGACCTTCTGCGGGGAGCGAGAACACGAGCTGGGAGCCCTGGTTCACAGCCTTCTCCCCACATCTCTTTGCAGATGCGCTGGCTCCCTCCCTCCGAGGCCACTTCTCAGGGCTGGAAGTCCCGTCAGTTCTGCTGAATACTACGTGAGTACTGGGCGTCAGTGACAGCTGGGGCACGTGCCTGGGGCACAGGAGCAGGCCGGCAGTCAGCAGGCAGCTCTGCCCTCTCGGCACCCACACCCTCCGCCCTGCCTCTGCCGAGATTTTCACCTGGGACTGCGCCAGAGCCGGGATGCTCCCCTAACTTCAAAAACTGAATCCTGGCCTTCCCACCCCATCAATCAGCAGTCAGGGTGGGTGTCAGGACAGGCGTCGGGGATTCGTTACAGCAGTGTGGTGGCCCTGCTGCCAGCACCAACCAGAGACTTCCTGAGTTCCAGGCACAGGTCGTCTTACTTGACACAGGGGTTTATTATGGGAGCCTTGGAGTTTATCGGAATTAACTTCCCGGCGTGCACGTATGTATGCATATTACAGCTTTCAGTAACATTTGTAAAATTTCCCGGGGCCGAGAGAAAACGTCAGCACTGCATCAGGAGTTTGTCAAAGGGACTTACGTGGGAGGCGCCCCTTAGGTGGTGGCAAGATCATGGATCTCCTGTGTGCCACCTAAAGGTGGTGGTCACTAAAGAAAGACACAGAACAGGGGTGAATGGACGGTGGTGCTGGTGCGACCTCCCCAGGTAAAGGGGAGGCACCTCACGTGCTCACAGGGGCCTGATCCAGGACCCAGCGGGCTGTGGGGCCCTGGGGGGCTGCGTCCAACGGGCTCTGTAGGGGTTTATGGGAAGCAGCCCTGTCCTGGCCTGGGTCTGGCTCGTGGGTCAGCAGAGGTCGGGTCATGGAGCAAACAGTCCCTCCCCCGTGGGTGCGCACGCTCTGAGCTTTCTGAAATGCCCAGTGTTTGCCCTGAGGGCAGCCAGCATGGCGGTTCCAGCAGGACAGCTTTCCTGAAAGTGTCTCATCTTGAGGGAAAGGATGTCCTGAATCGGCGACCTCGTGCCATTTTATTGTAGGCCTACCCTTGCTTCAGAGAACATTCAAATGAATGTTTTCCCTGCAAATGTAGAATTTCTATGAAAATTCCAAGTGCCTTTTTAATTCAGTATCTGGACTGCCTTTTTGTTAAGTACTAAGTAACATTTCTTCAAAGTGTGAATTTGGGGAGTCTGCCCTAAAGTAACCCCTTTAAATGGCAGGGTCTACCTTCTCGTGGTCTCTCCTCTTCCTCACAAAACAGGGAGGAAACGCTGGAGAAACGGCAGCGCCAGTCCGTGGGCGGGGAGGGAGAGGCGTGCCGCGTGGGTGTTCACCGAGGTCCGGGCTTTGTTTTCCACGGGCAGGTTGCCCTGCTAGCCTCAGGTCTCAGTCAGTGGGTCAGGTCACCTTTGGTGCAAGTTCCTAGGTGACCTCTAAAGCTCTTCCTACCGTCAGCGGGGGCACTTCGGGGCGCGACGCTCCTGGTGCAGAGAAAAGGCCCCTCCCTTCTGAAGGAAGGGCCGCACCGACGGGAGCGCGGCCCCTGATGGGTGGGCATGCGCGCGTCAGAGACCCCACGGCAGAGTTGGCAGCGTGCTCGGTCAGTGGGCCCCGTACCCCGACCAATCGGGATCTGTCTCTGGTGGTGAAAATAAGTTAGTTGGGGCACCATTTCTGCTTTAAAACACCAACTTCAACACCTTAGAATTGTGCCTGCTCGTCCCCGGCCCAGCAGATTGCCCCAAGTGGCCGAAGCCCGAGTCCTCAGGGAGCATTGCAGGTGGAGACCAACTCGTAAACGCTCCCAGTGTCAGGGTCAAACCAATTTCTGCACCAAAAGATGTTCAGAACCTTGATAACAGTGTGAGCATCGTGCATCTTTAAGATTGGAGAACTCTGGGATGCAGTCATTCTCACATTTGAGGCCAGGGAACTCTTTTTTTACTGAATCGTGGGAAACTGATGTTTTACATAGGGTGCACTTTGGGAAACTGTACCCTAAACTCTTAACCAAAACCTGTACCATTTGCAAGGAGGCGTACAGTTGTTCCTATGAGAAGTAACCCAATAATCAATGATAATGCAGGAGTAAACTCTGTTTCATGTACTCACACTGGTAACCTGCTTTGCCCACCCCTGTGTGTGTGTGTGTGTGTGTGTGTGTGTGTGTGTCATTGGACCTGTGAGCCATCTGTGATACTTTTCACTGATCCGTGACGATGGGGAAGTCAAGACGATGTAGTGTCCTCTTTCCTTAAAGTCACCTGGGTTTGTCCCTTACTCTGAAGTTACGTTCTTCTGTGTGTGTGTTCAAGTACCCGTTTTAGATGAAATGGTAGTTAGTGCATTGCAGTTGCACTTTGTTTATTTTTTTATTTAATCTTTATTGTATTTTTCCCATTACTATTTAGTCTCTTGTAATTATATTTTAAATGCCTTTTCTTAGAAAAATAAAGTCAGCAGTCCATGGTAGATACCTAAAGTATTCTTTAAAATATTGTACTATTTTGTGAAATCTAAAAGTTCACTGCTGAGGGGAAACTCTCCCCCTGAAAGCACCTCTTTTAAGCGTTGCGGTATATTTACTGGTCCGCTAGGTCGAGTGTTTCCTAAGTCCATGCTCCTCGTCCGTGTGCCCATCACTGATTTTACAGTTTACGTTACGTGTCCTCAGCCCTTGCTGCGTACTTCAGAAAAGCCTCAATCACTTCGCCACGTGCGAACCTCCGTTCCAGGGTGTCATGTTTACCGTTCCAGGAGGCACTGTTCACGTGCACCTCTCTGACAGTGTGTTTCTCTCCCCATTTCCCACGGCCGGTAAAGACTCACCTGGCGGTGTCTAGGACAAGATAACTTGAAATCCTGAAGCTCAGGGAAGAGTTCACGCACGCATGTTGAAGTACAGGTTTGCGTTCAGGGTGCGCTGGTGGTTGAGGAAGTGACGAAGTTAGGAGAGAGTCGGTGAGACAAAACCTTGAGGCTCCGTAGACGTGAGGGGTCGGGAGATGACGAGCGGCCTGTGGAGGACACAGAGCGGCCCGAGGAGCGGGTGAGGCTCGGAGCCTGGGAGGGGTGGTGTTGAGCTGCTCAGTCGGCAGTGACAGGCACCGTAGGACAGTGGATGAGAGTTTACCTCCAAAGTTGGCGATTTCGGTTGGCAAAGCACAGTGGTGGCACAGGGCCTACAGAAGGATTTTATTTTAAATGTGTATGGGCCAAAAGGAGGACGTGATCTTTAAGCAGCTGCACAGGTTCCAACCCAAAAGACCCTTCTCCGTGCTTACAGCAGGCTCACCTAAGTTTTTCCAAATCGTCCTTCCCCACTGACCCATCCACCAGACACCTAGCGGCGGCGGTGCTCCCTCTTTGGAAGCACGGCCCATGTAAGGCTGTGGGGTCTGCACAGAGATGTAACGTCTCCTGGGGAGGCACTGCTGGTTCGGGGCCAGCGTCCTCTCGTGGGGTCCGGAGCGTGTCAAGGACAGGACCTGGTTAGGAAGGAGGATGGACAGGTGATTGTGCTCATTCCCGCTGCAGTTGGTGGACTCCAGTCTCTGGTCCCACCTGAAGTTAGACCGGTTCGGTGTGGGTTCATTACTCGGGCCCTCCAGGCTCTGGATCCCTTCCAAGCGAGCTCATTATCCAGGCTATGCAGCCTGAGGGGAATGTGTGTTAGAATTCAAAGCAGTGGTGCGGATGAAACCACATTGTAGAACCTCACAAGTATCTCAGGCCAAATGAAGGGTGGGTGCCAACCAGTGGCCCCCATGGCCCGTGTGGCCTTCCTGCCGTCAGAGGGGGCCGCCTCCCCCGTGCAAAGGTGGCACCAGAACAGAAGACAAGAGCAGCGGTGACTTCTGACGCGTGGCCGTCAGGATGCCATCCTTCCAAACCCTCAGTGGTCCTGGGCCTGCTTTTCCCAGAGGTGCTTCAAGCATTTTTTAATTGACCGTCTTTGACTTCCTGTTTCTGAAGGGTAATCAGTGGCTATAAAGGCAAATAAACTCTCTGTTCTTTAAGCAAACATGTATTATGTGTCTGCTATGTGCTAAGACATTAAAATGTGCAAAGCCAAGCCTGTGCCCCAAAAGGGCTTAAACCTCCAGTAGGCGAGAGTCACGGACACACATGTGAGAGGGACGGTCCCAGTGAGCCTGCTGAGAGGGGACCCCGGAGTCGGCGTGGGGCGCGAGAGCTGGCCAGGGCGAGCTCGCAAGGTGCACAGTCAGAGCGGTGGGGGTTAGGGGTGTTTTAATTTGTTCCTTATCTTCCTTGATGTTGATGGATGGTGCTTAGCTAATCAGACTACAAGCTGTGTCTGCCCGTCACTGGAGTTTTGCTATGATCCAGCCTTGTGGCAGAGAACACCAGACAGAATACACGCTAGCGATCGAAAATGGCCAACTCCCAGGTGTGCCGAGGGCAGGAAGGCGTGAGGAAGTTTTTAGTCACTTCTCACAGGGAATGGGAGTTCCGCAGCTTTCCTTTTTGGCCATCCAAATGTAGCGGCAGTAGGGGCGGTGTTAGGCATTGGGGTGGATGTGGGAGGGGTTCTTCAAGAACTCATGAAAATTCCCGGGCCGTGGACCACGACGACAGCATAGAAATTATAGCAGTAACAGCCTCACCACATTAGAGCAGGACACAGCAGGAGATAAGGCCAGAATCTGAAGCTGTTTACTCCTGACGTTTAGTTTTGGGTGGCATGGCCTAGGATCGGCCTCTGAGCCCGGGGCCTTGGGGACGGAGCCGTCATCAGAGGAGTCCCAGGCGCTGGACGTGTGTCAGAGCACAGTGTGGGGCAGCGCGGAGCAGGACGGGCACCGAGTCTTCACACAGGCCCAGACGGGGGCCGTGGCTCCTGCAGTCACCCCGCCTGCGCCCTAGGGGAGACCCGGGCACCATGCTCCCACGAGGCAGCGTGCCCAGAGACGAGGTGGAAGTCAGCGCTGGTCTGCCCTTCCCCTTCTCCCTGACACACAGACACTCACCGAACGTCCCCAGTGTGTAAGGCACTGCTGTGGGTGCTGAGGATGAAACGGCCGCAGCAGACAAAACCCTTGCCTTCGTGGGGCCGACTGTCATGGGGAGGGTGCGGGCGAAGCAAGGGCAGCGGGGCGATGTGGGCTGGCAGGCACTTCGTTTTACCCGGTGGAGCAGTGGAGTCCAGGTCCGACTGACACCCCTCGAACAGAGACCCCAAGTTCTCCCAGATTTATGTGGGGTTCCTTATCAGAACAGACCTCACTTGATTCGAGTTTAGAGAGTAATTTCACTAACCCTCTTCTCCTTGCTCACCCTCGGCTAAATCAGAGTCAGCAGGCTTGAAGGACAGCGGGCTTACGTTAGGTGAGGCCTCACGGCACGTTGGCAGAGAACAGTGCGCCCGGGCAGCCTGCGCAGCATGGCCCTGCGCGCTTCCCCAAGAGGTTTCTCCATTTTCCCCGTGCGGAGCCTGGTTCTGGTTCCCCGGAGCCTTGGGGCCTGTTAAACTTCCCTTGTGGCTTACAAGGAGGGACAGGCCCGAGAACCTGCCCCTTGCCAGTAGCTGGTGGGTGCCCCTTCCAGCCACTACCGAGTCCTCCCGGCTTCATAACACAAAAGACGTCTGCCAGCCACGCATGCGTGCATGAGCTCAGCTCACACCAAGACTGTTACGACAGCCCAGTGCTGTCAGAGCTGCGATCTCACCACTGTTGCCCATTTTCTGTTTTCTACAAGTCTCGCTGGGAGGTCTCTGAGACCCCCGAGAGTCTACACGTGCACCAGGAGAGTCGCCTGGGCCCTAGGAAGAGTTTAGTGAGGGCAGCCATGTGCTAAGTCCAGGTGTCCAGTCCCAGCGGGGGCTGGAGAACAGTTGCAGGTGAGGGCCACCTGCAGCAGCCTGGGCCCCGACCCTGCACTTCCATCCCGTCCCCCTAGGCTGACAGAGGGGGTTCAGAAGGCTCACATGCTCTCCGTAAAGCTAAACGTGAACACATCCAGCCTTCCCCCCTGTGCTGTATGCTCTTTGGGGAGTAATCTCCCAGTGCCTCTGGAGGACAGGCCTGGCCTGTGTGGGCACATGCCATTGATGTAAAAAGTGGGCAGAGCGCAACTGGGTGGTAAAACCCTGTAGTCCGGGACCTGGTGACAGCTAGGGTTCCTGGACTCTTTATCAGTCCGAGGTCAAACTGAGAGGACACTTCAGTCTAGCTTAACGAGTAGGTGTCGTACAGATGCAGCTGTGGTCTGGCAGCCCCAGGAAGGCCCCCCGGTCTGCTGTTGCTGCTGCTGTGGGGTGCTCCCTTCCCCCCATCCTGTCCCGTGTCGTGTCCCCCCCTCTCCCCGTGTCTTGGCAAGTTTAGAAAAGATGAGAGAAGTTGGGTGAGTTGGTAAGTTTTGATTGTGAGGATGAGTATTTTCCTGTCCTGAAATAACCCTACTGTAACTAGGAGACTAGAGTCACACTGACTCACCTTTATTGTTGTTACAGTGAAATTGTGGGGAAGACTTTTTTCCCCTTAATTCTGAGAGCTGCCCCAGGAAGGTGATCTTCCTTCAGCCTCACGCAGAATCCCAGAGTTGGGTTTCACCTGAACCCCGAGTGCTGCGAGGCCTCCTTCTGAAGGGCCAGCTTCCCATGCTGGAAGACTGGTGAGACTTTGATGGGGAATCCCGAGGGCTAGCCGCAGTATGTTGTGCACTCCCACTCACAGAGCCGCGCCTGCCACAGACAGCCTGTTTGCGAGAAGAGCAGTGGCGGCCAGAGCTGGAGTGAGAACTGCTAGCGGGGAATAGGGCAGCCGTTGGATTCCAGTGCTGGCCGGTGGGCTTCCTTCCTCAACACCAGGGAGCCTCGTGAACGCCCACTGGCTCCCAGCCAGCCCTGCCTGCAGGGGGAGTACTACAAACCTTATTATTTGCTGGGTCTCTGCACCCTCCTATTGCAAAATTCTCAGACCCTAGGGAACAGACGGATATGCTCACCAGTGTTTCCTTTCGGGTTTTTTGTCTTCCAGTAGGTGCTTGGAGTACAGTTGAGCTCCGAGGTGCCCATGACACCACGGGGATCTCCCAGAGACCTGGTTTTGTGGCCGTGGGCTGCCCAGGTGTTCCTCTGGTCTGAGAAGGCGCTGGACTGGTTAGGTCTTGGGCTCCCTTCCCTTTGGGATCCCGGGTGCTGTGCCTTTCTCAGCAGGGCTGTGCTCAGTCCTGGGGACCCAGCCTCTGGGAAGGGCTGCAGCTGGTGCTGCCGCTCTGCCACCGGGTGGTTTCCATCTTCATACTCTCGAACGTGTGCAGACGTCCCCTGAGACGGTTTTCCGGATGCCCTTTCCTCACGCCTCTGTGACCGGGGGGGGTGGGGGGGGGGTGGGCAGGGGAATCTGGTTGTTACCATCCACTGGCCAGAGAGCCTGCCCTCATTTGTCCCAGCACATCCTAAGCTGGCTGTCCTGGCTGTGAGCTTTTCATGCCACGGATACAAATTCATTCTCAAGTGGCGCTTGTGCTCAGCTCAATAGCAGACACGGTCCCTTTGCATTTGACTCAGAAGAGGCTGGTCTTAAAGGCCCAGGGAACCCCAGCTGCAGGCCAGGCTGGGGGTGGAGACTGTTGCACACTGCTAATGGGTTTAATTAACTGGCGATCTCTTTCCACCCCAGGCTCCAGGTGTGTGATGGTGGCTGCAATCTGTCTTGTGGGTATTATTAATGCAACCTTCAATGGTGGCTACTGTTCTGGAGCTGTTCCACAAAACTGGAGCATGCCGGTGAGTTCCAAAGCCAGAGGCTGAACAGGCCCTCCGGAGAAGCAGTGTGTCCTGGGGTGGGGTCAGGACCACCACCCAGCATCACCTGGGAAACTCAGGCCCCAGGGGGTGGGGCTCAGCAGTCTGAGGGATACACCTCTCCCAGTAGGTGCTCTACGCTGGGACATGCTGGTGTGGAGTGCTCAGGGTAGGGGTTGGTTCTTCATTGCCTCCTCCAACCACGGCCTGCACAGGGAAGGCTGTCCCGGGATAGCAACCCAGAGTTGTGCAAACTCTGAAAGCACGGAACCCCCGTTCCTGGTTGTCACCACAGCCATCCTAGGCTGGGCCATCAACATCTGCTCGTCCTGTAGCATCAGTGGATGAGATGTCCCACCTAAGGTATTTAAGCACTGTGGTGGGAACCTTTTGCAGATGTGTTATGTATATTCCCCCTGACCTACTATTCCAATTGTAGGCAATGCAGCTCTTCCTTGATGACCCAAGGACATTTTTATGAGCCTCTTTAAAAATGCCAAATATAGTTTGGTTCTAGAACTTAATTCACTCTGGGAGGCTCTTTGAGAGGTGATTTGTTTGAAAACTGAACCATACACTTGCACATTCTCTCCTTTGTCACCTGAGAGGCGGTAACTGGTCATACAGGTACCAGCATGAAAGGGTTGTCAGGGTAAGAACTGAAGTTGGTGCAACGACCCAGACATGTTTGCCGTGAACAACTGGTCCTGAAGCAAACTGTTCGAGATGGGAGACAGTCGAGGGCCAAGATTGGACTGCGGAGTGGCTGTCCTTGGGCGGGACTGAATGATACAGGGTTCTCACGGAATTCCTGCAGATGCTGGGCTTTGCTAGCGGGTGATCATTTTGGTGACTTGTCTGTGTTTTCAGTCAACATCAGGTGCCACTTCTCAGCTCATCTATTTCTAGCAGCGAGTGTAGTTTTAAAGCAGTAACACAGCATTCCCAAGAGGTGACCAGCCTGGCCTAGAACAGCAGGAGTGCCAGGGGCAGCTGACAGTGGTTATGTCTCAGCCCAAATAAAGGACAAATTTCATCCCTATGAGAGGGGCCTCAAGAAAAGATGAGTCAACAGACAGGCAAGATTCCTGCTAGGGACGGAGGTGCTTGAGTAGCTTCGTCTTGAGAACAGTAACACTCCGCGCCTGTCCAGAAGCACACGCACTTGGTTTGTGCTGGGCTCTGCAGCCCGCCTCCCTGGCCTGGACGGGAAGCTGGCAACCTGCACTTGGGGGTCTTCTTTCCCCCTGACATCTGTTTCTCACGCTAACCAAACTTACCAACACGTTAACAGTTTTCCACAGCACGTAGGGCAGTGGTGTTATTAGCCCACTAATTCCACAGCTGCCTATTAGGTTTTCCTTTTGTCAGAGTTCTGAATGATAATGCCCATGATATTCTTACTACTATCACTTAGTAAAGCTTTTTTAAAAGGCAAGATACTGCTTTTCCCCCTTCTCTGTGGAAACTTGAAGACCAGTTAAAAGCCACCCATACAGTATTTTTGGGAACAGGTTAGAACGGTGACTTCTAAGTGCAGTAAGTGGACACAAACATCAGTAATTCGGGTCCTGTGCAGGTGAGCCCAGTCCGGAAGCAGCAGCGGGAGCACATGGTGGCTTTATGCAGAGAGCAGGAGGGCCTGGGGATGCAGCCGGGAGAACTGGGGCTTGCTCCTGGGTGAGCGGCTGAGGGTCACGTTGCAGATACGCCTGAAGGCAGGGCGGGTGCCTTCGGCACTAGCCAGGTTTGAGGAGCACTCACCTGTTCGTGGGCCATCCAGGGCCTCCAAGAACAAGTTTGGTGGAAGCTTTCCTCTCCCCAAAGCTGAAGCAAGAGGACACTGCTGAAGGCCTGCCCTTGGAGAGCAGAGCTAGGCCTGGGCTGTGCGCGGTGGGTTTCTGGCGTCAGGGCTGGGCAGCTTGCGGGCTGCTGTGGTAGGGGAGCGCCTCTAGAATCAGGAAGGAATTTCTAACTATAACTATGGGGACTGTTCCTCTAGAGATTGTGAACCTTTTAAAATGTTAACTAGACTTTTTTATTACAAGTTAATACCAGCATTTGGCTTAAAAAAAAAAAAAACAATCTCACAGGTATAAAATAGAAACTAAACCACTCATTTTTAATTTTTTAAAATTAATTATGCTATTACAGTTGTCCCATTTCCCCCCCGCCCCTTATTCCCCTCTGCCCCGCACACCCCCTCCTGCCCACATTCCCCCCCTTTAGTTCATGTCCATGGGTTGTACATGTAAGTTCTTTGGCTTCGCCATTTCCTATACTATTCTTAACCTCCCCTGTTTTCTACCTACCATTTATGCTACTTATTCTCCGTACCTTTTCCTCCTCTCTATCCCTCCCACTGCCCTGCTGATAACCCTCCATGTGATCTCCATTTCTGTGATTCTGTTCCTGTTCTAATTGTTTGCTTAGCTTTTGTTTTGTTTTAGGTTCAGTTAATAGGTGTGAGTTTGTTGTCATTTTACTGTTCATATTTTTAACCTTTTTCCTAGATAAGTCCCTTTAACCTTTCATATAATAAAGGCTGGGTGATGATGAACTCCTTTAACTTGACCTTATCTAGGAAGCACTTTAGCTGCCCTTCTATTATAAATGAAAATTTTGCTGGGTAGAGTAATCTTGGATGTAGGCCCTTGCCTTTCATGACTTCGAATACCTCTTTCTAGCCCCTTCTTGCCTGTAAGGTTTCAAGAAATCAGCTGATAGTCTTATGAGAACTCCTTTGTAGATGACTGTCTCCTTTTCTCTTGCTGCTTTTAAGATTCTCCTTATCTTTAATCTTGGCTAATGTAATTATGATGTGCCTTGGTGTGTTCCTCCTTGGGTCCAACTTCTTTGGGACTCTCTGAGCTTCCTGGAATTCTGTTTTCTTTGCCAGGTTGGGGAAGTTCTCCGTCATTATGTTTTCAAGTAAGTTTTCAATTTCTTGCTCTTCCTCTTATCCTTCTGGCACCCCCGTGATTCGGATATTGGAACATTTAAAGATGTCCTGGAGGTTCCTAAGCCTCTCATTTTTTTTTTTTTGAATTCTTGTTTCTTCATTCTGTTCCAGTAAAATGTTTCTTTCCCTCCCATCACTGTGGGTTCCCTATAGATTTTTCTTTATTTCACATAATGCAACCTTCATTGCTGCCTGGATTTTTTTATGCTGTTGAAGCACCCAGTGAGTTCCTGGAGCATCCTGATTACCAGTGTTTGAACTGTGTATCTGAGGTTGGCTCTTTTCATCACTTAGTTGTATTTTTTCTGGAGCTTTGAACTGTCCTTTCATTTGCCCCCCTTTGTTTTTCTGTCTTGGTGTACCTGTTACATAGAAAGGGGCAGTCTTAGGTGTTCACCAGGGTGGGGCAATCACATCACTGCCTTGTGGCACTGTATGTGGGTAAGGGTCTGAGAGGGAACAGTGGCGCTTGCTCTGCTCTCTGCCAGTTTTCAGCCACTTCACTGCTATCCACCAGCAAATTGGGCCCGTCTGGTGCTGATTCCAGGTGGGAGGGTTTGTGTACATTTCAGTACCCCATGGGTCTCTCCAACAAGCTCTCCTGTGAGGCTGGGAGTTTCTCCCACGAGCTCAACCTCAACAGGTGTTTTTAATCAGGGGTTTGAGGCTCTATTTCCCTGCGCTGGAGCCCTGGGTTATAAGTCTGTCTCGCTCCCCAGTTGTTCCTCCCGGTTTTTCTGCATGCGAATGTGGGACCACCCACTCTGCCAACCACTGCGTCACCCTGAGTCCTCTCTGCCTGGCTGCCTGTCTCCACCCCTCCTACCGGTCTGGATGAATGTTTCTTTTTTAACTCCTTGGCTGTTGGACTTCCATACAGTTTGCTTTTCTGTCAGTTCTGGTTTTTGTTTTGTTTTGTTTTGTTTTTTTTTAATTTGCTGTTGTCCTTTTGGTTGTGCAAGGAGGCACAGTGTGTCTACCTACGCCTCCATCTTGTCTGGAAGTCTCTGAACTTAAACCACTCTTATTTAAAATCATTGTCATATGCTGTTCCATGTTTATTGGGAGCTGGATGGAGGAGGAACTTCTTTATAAAAATGAATGTTAGAGAAACTCTGGAGGGAAAATCATAAGTACAGATGGCCCCTACCTTATGGTGGTTGGACTGTATGATGGCATAAAAGTGATACGCATTCTGTAAAAACCTTACTTCAGATTTTGAATATTGGTCTTTTCCTACACTAGCAATACGTGGCACAGTCCTTTCTCATGATGCTGGGCAGTGAGCTGCACTAGCATGCGGGTAAACAGCCAACACTCTGTCTGTAGTGTACTGTGTTGACGGCATTCTTTGGATATTGTTTTCTCGTGTACATGAGATATTGAAAACTTTGTTTTCAGTGACAGTTGATATACATCACTATGTTAGTTTCAGGTGTAGATATAGGGATGGGAAAAGGTAGGTTTACATTTGTGTGTCTTTCTTGTATTATCGACTTACTGAATTGTTTTCCATATAAACTGTAAACCTACCTTTGCCCACCCCTAGTCTAGTACCCATCTGACACCATAGTTATTACCATACCAGTGACTCTCTTCCCTGTGCTGTACTACTTTATATTCCCAGGACTGTTCGGTGACTGCCAATTTGTACTTAATCCCTTCACCAACTGACCACCACCCCACCAGCTATCAATTTGTTCTCTGTATCTGTGTTTGTGGAATTTTCTTTAAATTCCACATGTAAGTGAAATCATATGGTATTTGTGTTTCTCGTATTTCACTCAGCACAATACTCTCTAGGCTCACCCATGTTGTCACAAATGGTAAGATTTCCTTCTTTGTGGCTGAGTAGTTTTACACTGTGTGTACGCAGCACCTCTCTCTGTGCATTTATCTATTGATGGGATCTTAGACTGCTTCCATATCTTGGCTAATTAAAATAATGCTGTAATGAACATAGGGTGCATCTTTTCAAATTAGTTTAGTGTTTTATATTTCTTCAGATAAATACCTGTAAGTGCAATTCCTGGGTCGTAGGGTAGTTTTAGTTTTCATTTTTTTAAGGAACCTCATACTGTTTTCCACAGTGGCTGCACCAGTCTGCATTCCCACCAACGGTGCACGAGGGTTCCCTTTCCTCCACATCCTCCCCAGCACGTTTGCTGATTGGATGCTGAGAGCCATTTTAACACGTGTGAGGTAGTATCTCACTGTGGTTTTCATTTGCAATTCTCCAATGATTAATGATGTTGAGCATCTTTGCATATGTCTATTAGCTATCCACGTGGCTTCTTTGGAGAAGTGTATTCAGGTCCTTTGCCATTTTTTAATTGGACTGTTTGGGTTTCTTAGTGGTAAGTTGTAACTGAGTTCTTTATATGCTGGATTTAATCCCTTATCGATGTCTATTGGCAAATATCTTACTCCATTCAGCAGGTTGTCTGAATGTTGTCTTGTTGTGTTGGTGGTTACCTATGCTGTGCGGAAAGTTTTGTTCCATACGTAGTCCCATCCATTTTTCTTTTTCTCTTCTCCAAGAAGATACAGCCAAAAAAATATTGCTTAGATGTCAAAAGTTTAGTGCCTAGTTTTCTTTTAGGAGTGTTATGGTTTCAGGTCTTAAGTCTTTAATCCACTTAATTATAAAGTAGCCTTTGTGTTCGATGATTTCGCCCATCTGTGGTGTAGTGTAAATGTTCTGAGCACGTTTAAGGTAGGCTAAGCTATGATGTTCCGTATCAAGTGCACTTGTGACTTAACGGTATTTTCAATGGGTTTATTGGCACGTAACCCCATCATAAATGGAGAAGCTTCTGTATGTGTAGATGGATTGAGGGGAATTAGTGTTTTCTTACTGCTAGGAGGAAAGGCTCACAAGGCACTTCCACAAACAATGGGAAAGTTGAGTGAGGGGAAACTGGCCCCTGTCAGGTCTTTTCTGAGGGTTACGTACTGGTCTTTCTGAGCAAGGACAATTGAAATGAAATGTTTTAGAATTGTATAATGTTCTTAAAATATCAGGAAACATTTTCTGTTATCTTAAAATTTGAACAGTTGTGACTTACACCTGATGAGATTTTTAACATCGTTTCTTCCCTTGTTTGCCCCACCACACGCAGGTTGTGGATGACCCCCTTTCAGGGAAGGTTCTGTGAGGAGAAACCGCTCTCTAAACAGAGCCCGACCCTCTGCCCCCACGGTGCTCTGTGTTCTCAGATGTCTTTGCATTCCGTTGAAAATGTTCTTGTTAGTACATTCCAAGGCTTGAACTCCATTCCTAGTGAAACCTCTTCCTTGTTTACAGGGACTGAAATAGCCACACTTTGACCTTCTGTTCAGTCTGGGAATATCAATGGCCGTGGGGACACATTCTTTTCCCATGTGAGACTTCGTTGTGCAGCAGTTATGGAACAGCTCAGGAAACTAGAGACTCCCGTCCCCCCCTCTAGGTTTTTCACTTCAAAAAATCAGCCATTCTTCCTTCCCAGGAGTCCAGGAGGAAGGGGACAGAGCTATGAGGTCAGGCGGGCCAGAGGCCCCTTCCCATTCTCCCTGTGCCAGCTTCCTGTAGGAGACGCGCAGCAGAGGTGCTCGGGGCGCCACTGGGCCCGTAGCCAGAGCCCAACCTGGGTCCCCAGGCACCTCGCCTGGCTCAGGCATGGGCGAGTTTCAGTGCCACATCCCGGGAGTGGCCCATTGTCCCCACTTGCCACACAGTCCAAGTGACTCTTCTGGGGTAGAGGTAAGAAAAAATAGTTTTAGGGAGGAAAATAATCCAAGACAATCCTGTGAGAAAGCCAAATACATGGTCTAGGCAGTGAGAGCTCCTGAAGAAAGTGGGCAGGCTGAAGGGATCGGGAAAAGCTGGAAGAAGAGAGATTGGAGAGAGAATAGGTTTGCAGGGGTGCGGGGGAGGGATGTTAGAACAGAAGAAGGGAGGAAGGGAAAATATGACCAAGCTTTTCAGGAGCCTTGAGGAGGGTGTGTTAGGGATTTGGGTCTACAGGAGAGGGCTGCTTTAGGCAGCACTGTCATCTTGCTGCCCACAGCAAAATGGATGAAGACCCATGGCAGAACACACCAGGAGAGGCAAGCCCACAGTGGTGGTGTCGGGAAGTGGCAGAAGGCTCTGAGAGCACAGGGCTGTGTCAGGGACAGAGCGCCGGGGGCTGGGTGTAGGGGCAAAGACACACAGGGAAAGGGGTCAGGAGCTGTGTTAAGGTTTAACAAGTCTGAGATTAGACATGTTGCCTTTGAGGTCATGGCAGAAATGTCCGGGAATTGGCTGTGGACCCACAAGGAGGTCAGGACTAGCAACGTGCATTTGCTCCAAGTTGGTTGTGAGCTCTCCAGAGAAAGCAGAAACAGGCCAGCCAGGCCCCTTACCACGCACAGCCAAGGGCTGGAGGAGAGGACAGGGACTTCATCTAGCCCGTAGAAAGGAGAGCGCACGTGTGGCTGACGCTCCTTTGCCTGTTCATTCAGCCCCTGAAAGCGGTGTGGCAGCTCTGGTTTCAGACCGCTGCTCTCGGTGCCTGGTAACCACATCCAGTGCCGGCTGCTTTCCTACGGTGGCTCTGTCCAAGCCGGTGCTCTGCAGGAGGCCGCTGGCAGGCCCCTCCTGTTCCCGGAGTCTAAGGGCAGCCAAGTGCAGCCCCTGTGCGTTGTTCCTCAGAAATGGTTTCCTGACAGCAACACACACACAGCTTGGGCTCCTGGCATGTGGCCAGGCTGGGATGACGTGGAAGGTGTCATTCCAGGCCTGACAAGCCAAGAATGCAGGGGAAGGAAACTGGCTTCACATCTACTTCCTCTAAGCTGGCTTTCCTCCTCCCCTGATGGGCAGTGACTGGGCAGTGGGGTTGGGGGCCTTCTTCACACTGGAGGGGAGGGTCCTCTGGCAGTTAAAAGCAGATCAGACATTTGTGGGGATGCAAGATAGGCCAGAAGGTTGTGGGTTCCTTGGGAAAGTGAGCTAGTACAGCCGCAAACGTGATGCCAGGCCTCATCAGCCCCCTGCAGCCCGGGATCCCTACCCCCAGCCCAGGCATTCTCTCCTGCCACCCACCCAGGGCTGCTCCATGCGGCACACACCTGGACGGTGGGATCCCGGTGGGCCTCCCCTCCGCCCCCCCGGCCGCCGTACTCCCCTACCAGGGAGAAATCAGAGCATAGCAGAAGAGACATAAGTTTCAAGAGGGGTCATGCGGACCCTGCTCACAAAGCATCCATCACAGAACATGTTACCTACACCAAAGAGCAGGCTGGGCCCTCATCCAAGTCCGGTGAGTGAGGGTTGATCCCTCTGGTGTGCCGGGAATCAGGGCTGGCAGGACAGTCAGAGAGAGAGGCCCTGCAGGTGTTCCCTTCCTTCCTCCTGTCTCAGAGAATCCTGTTGAGGAAGTAGAGGTGGCAGGCGGGGTCGGAGGGGCCACTGAGGTGTCACAGGGGGCTCCGGACTCATGCCCCACTGCTGCACCTGCACACCAGGCTGTGGCAGGGTGGGCTGGATCCGAGTTCACATTCACCAGGCACTGTTCATTCCTGGTTTGGGGAGAAGTATTTTCTAAAATCATGTCATTAGCTGTTTGAGTGTTCACCAAAATGTTTCTAATTTTGGGTTTTACTGCTAAATATACATTTTCCCAAATAAGTCTGAGCACAATAATATGGGTTTTCAGTAGTAATGCTACTTTCTAGCTTCTTCCCACTCACATACAAGCATTTCCCTGTACAAGATTTTAGTATGTGCTGTTTTACTCCAGCATATACCTCCTCTACAGCCACAGATTTGTGAGTCTGGTATGTTAGTAAAACGATGGCAGGAAAACAAGGGGCCTGGGGAGGGCGAGTGGAATGTGCGGCGGAGCGCACGCAGTACCAGAGGTCTCCCAGGGCAGCCAGCCTCGATACGGTTACGTGAGCCCAGACGCAAAGGAGCGTGATGGAGCTAAGGAAACCCCGGGAGAAGGGACTCCTTCAGGGGCATCAGAACGCCTCAGTGATTGTTCCGAAGGCCTTTTCTTCCACCACGATGCACAACAAATGGGGGCATTTCCTTGCAACTGCAGGGAAAGGAGGTGTTGAAAGGTTTCTAGTAAGAAGAGATGAAAGAAAGTTAAGTATTATCTTAGGTTAAGACTGATACTCTGGTGTGGTCTTCACCGGCGAAGCAGTAAACGCATTCCACGTTGGCACACACTTTAATAGGGGATCGCCGAGGTGAGAGTTTCTGAAGCGTGAGCTCCAGCAGCAGGTGTCTCCAAGCACAGCCCCGCACCAGGAGGAATCACTGCACACACACACACACACACACGTGAAGTCTGCTTCCCTCACACACCTCTTTCTCTTTCAGGCTTGACAACACCTTGCCCAGTTTTGGTCCCTTCAAGACTTTGCCACAGCCTCCATCACACATCTGGTTTTTTCCCCCCGAAGAAAATAAATATAATAAAGATGTTTTACTCTTTTACACTGTATAATTGTAAGAAATAGTGTGTTATTTGTGAATGCATGGTCTGACATACATTTCTGTACAGTTTGGAGATATTTTCAAACAAAACATAAAAGATGTCAACAATAAAACCAAGAGTGAGTATTTTTATACCAAACATTTAAGTGTAACAGGATGGATGATCTTACACTGGGTTGGATGACAATTTTTGTGCTCGACTTTTGAATGCCTGTACTTAAAAATATCTATTTTTTTCCTCTAAAATAAGCTGCATGTTTGAGGCATGTTTTTAAATATGAAAATTTCCAGAGCGTATTGTGAATGTATAGAAATCTGCCTGGCCCGAGTCCAGGGTGAGGCAGAAACATGGTGTTCGATGTTCCGGAACAGCTGTGCTGACCGCAGTACTAGGTGTGCACTGGCGGTGCAAGTAGGAGGCCCCCAGGGCTTTATCTTGGTGACATGTCCACAGCTGGGCAGGGAAGCCTCTCCTGGGTACAAGCTCCTGGTCAGACTGTGCCCTCAGAAAACCCTGGCCGCTCCAGGGGTGACCAACTGTTGGTCATACAGGTGTACCGCCAACCCCCAGTGCAGGTGCAGAGCCTGTCTCACTGAAAAGGGGCATCCTTGGCTTTGGGAGGCCAGCACTGCTCAGGCAGGAGCTGAGTGTGCGCCACCTGCTTGGCTGTAGCGGGCAGCTCCTGTCTCCCAACTGATTCTGCAAAACATCGGCTGAGCGGTGTTCCTAAGTCTTGGCAGCAGCGTGCCGAACGAGCCATTTGAAACACTGTCTTGAACGCTGTGTGCTCACTGGGACACTGCTACCACGGTGGCCCACAGAGAGATGGTGCCGTCAGTGGGCGTGTGGGATGAGTACTGTTCGGCCTGCCTCAAGACTTCTTCAGAACCACAAAGGCAGTCTTGCACTGTACGCTGACACATTTCCAGAGTCTGATAGCTCGGTCTCCCCTCTTTATAGAAGAGCCATGTGTAAAAAATATATACTGACCTAAGAATTTCAACTGCTGATATAGGCTAAACATGATCAAGATCCTTCTTAACTGACCTCATGTTGTGCTAAACAATGTTTTAATGATTATATGATTTCATTATTTTCCCTAAGAAATAAAGAAGCCTTTCAAGGTCATCAACAGAAAAGGGGGGCCAGGGAAGAGGGGCTCTCCCCCTCACCGAAACGAGGCCAAGGGCTCGCAGCAGCACGGGGTGGCAGTGTTCACACCCTGCTCACGCCCTCAGCACCACTGCGATCCTGGTGAAACTTCTATACGGTTGTTTCTAAGGAAAACAGCAACTTCCACACAATCTATTATACTTTTATAACTTAATGGTAATTTTCTATTGTCATTTTTAAAAATAAAGTGCTTATCCCAGCTGTCATGCCACTGTTGGGCAAATTTCTTTTTGCACAATCAACCGAGAGTAAACCGCACTGCAGACCATGGGCCAGCAGATTTCTCTGCCCTTTTCAGGCCTCGACAGACCTAAGCGCTAGCCCCTGAGGCACCGACAGAGGCCAGAGGAGGAGACGGGGCTGGGAGAGCCAGAGAATGGCCTCCACAAACACTGTACGGTGGGTGCTCGGTGAGCGGGGCTGACACCGCAGTCCATGGCCCTCACTGGGGCCGTCCTGACCTGGCAGGAGGAGCACAGAGCGGAGCCACGTGCCTCTTCTGCCGGGTGCACATCCACCGCAGCCTGCAAAGCTCAGCTCCAGGTTATCTGAAATCTATAGTCACTTAGGGTTTCCAGTTAAGTGATAAGTCAAGCACTGATGGCCAAGGTGATAAAAGCATTTCTCATACACACTCACCAGCCCGTCTTCCCCAAGGGGGAGGAAGGATGGAAGCCACAGAGTACTGAGTCCCAACCATTATTAGTCCTGCTGGGCAGTAACACTGGCTTGGTGGTTTGGGTCTCTTCTCCCTTTCACAGAGGACCATCACCAAGAGCAGGTCCCCATCACAGCCTTCCAATAACTGGGAGCCCAAGTATAACAGCAGACAACCGGCTCTCAGCTTTCCACAGTCCTGCCCAGGCTCTGAAGGCCACACCCAGCACAGCTCCAGGATAGACTTGACCTTGACAATGGAGCTTTGCCCTCTGACCTTCCTACTCAGCGGCACCAGAGGTTGGCCAGACAGCCTAGGAATTAAGGGTGCCACTACTCCGGAAGGAGATTCACTGCCTCTCCTGTCTACCTTGGGCCACCCTCACCCCAGTCACTGCCTGAACAGTCACTTCCATAGGTATTTTCACGGGAGGCCTTGGGATGGCTGGATGAATACCCCAATCGCCACACCAGGGTGACTGATGGCCATTAGTGATGTGCAGGTGACAAGTCTGGTGGTGCTTACGGACTCTAAGTATGTTCCCACTGACCACCCAGACACCAGCTCCATTCCAGTCTGAGAACCTGCCTTTTCTGTCACTACTGAACAGGAATGAAGTGTCCTAGAACTGGGAGCTTGGGACAAGAAGAGGCAAGTTTGTTCCCTTTGGCTTACATTCATAATGTCCCACTGTGTGGGCTCCACCAAGACGGTAACTAAGCCATCTTTTCCTTTCATTACTAAGCGAACCCTCTCTATTGGGAGGGGAGGACGTGCCCTTGTGCACATAAGACTAATGTAGTCACAAAACTGGTGTCTAACATTAAATGCTAGGCTACACCTTCCACCTCTAACAAAATTACAAGTTAAAGGAACTTGGAAAGTGAAAGTTAGAATGCCAATGCACATATCTAGGCTTCAAACTCACTGGACCCAATGTTTGCGTATACGTGGGACCTACTTTTCATGGGACCAATATACAATTTCTACTGTTCTCATCTCTGAGGTTCCCGGAACCCCAGCACCCCGCAGCATCTTTGGACCCTGAGTTGTGGGGCATAATGAACGTTCCTGAATTTCACGTCTCAGCACACAGGAATTCCTGGTGTCTGTGTCGGGGGCCACAGGAATCACCCAGGCATTTCTGGAGCGCTCTGAGTGAGCGCGCTCAGTGCTGGGGTATGTGCACATTGCCTGCCACATTCCCTACCACTGGGATGACCACCCGCTGGTGACAAAGGCGCCCTTACACAGCTGTAAGAGTGCTGACACACAGCTGTTCTTACTCTGACTGGTAATCCGCTCTATCACACCCCCACGTGACGTCAAACAATTTTACAGCATTCTTGGAAGGCAAGAGAATATTACTGTTATCTGAAATACCAGTCCTCAAAACACCTGCACTAAAAATATGAACTAGGATACTGAACACGATAAGCAATCCGATGGTCAAATATGTAAGGCCCCCAGGTTGGGAAAAACATCAGAGTGCCACGGTGGAGCTATCAGCCACTGCGGCAGAACCTCCCTGACAGCACCACAATACTACTGCACTCTTCTCCAAGCTGACCTGGCTCTCAAACATTCCCAAGTACCCAAAGATGCCAATATGCCATGAAACTTCTTTGTTTATCCCCTGCACAGCTCTCCGGTAACACCCAGACTATTTTACCAGTACTTCGGAGTGCCCACCACACTGACTCCTGCTTTATAGAGGAGACGGGGAAAGGTCCTGTTCCTACGAACCGGAACATACTGTGCCCACAAGTAAAGACGCGCGAAGCCTTCCACACTCCACTGCTCACACCCATCTCTCACTTAAAACTCAAGTGAAACTCTGACCACGCTACTGAACCCCAAATCACCAATAAATACTTCAGAGGCTTGAATTCAACCCTAACTTGTCTTCTGAGCAAAAAAAGACGCCTACACTGAATGAGAAATGATGCTCACGCTGAAATGTTTACCTGGACAAAAGAGCTTTCCCCCTAGAACTAGCAGGCCGCACTTGGGTGTGAGCAGCTCAGCAAGAAAGTTCACATTCTTAAAATAGTCAAGCACAAGATAAAGCAGCTCTTGGGTGTTCCTGGAGCAGGTCCTGCCAAATTCAGGCCACAGCTGACTCGGTCCTCTCCTGCTAGTAGTACTCTTCCCTGTTTTCACTTACCTGAAGGTAAGTTTGGATTGAATGTCCTTTGAAGTATGGCCCCTGCAAAATTCTGGGTGGCTGAAATTCACTGACTTTTCTTACCGACTCTGGAAACCCCATGGTTTCGGTCACAGGAGTGTGTTGGCCCACCCCCAAACCAGGGGCGTTGAACTCATTTTATGGGCCTACCTGTCCAAAGGGGCCCAGGACAGCAGCCTTGCCACTCTGCTGGAGGGCACCAACCACCTTATTTCTAATAGAAATCCTTTCATAAAGGAAAACGTGGTTTTATAACTATGGCCAGAGGAAGGTCAAGAGCACAATACCGGGGTCTAGCCTACCTGTTCCCCAAGTGCCTCCAGTCTACACACACACACCAGCACACACACCAGGACTGGGGCAGGTGTCCTAAGGCTCACTTAGTCTGAGAACTGGTTTCCTGAGGTCCTTGGACCTCCCCCAGCACTCTGCCTCCCACAGAACGCCTACGGCTTTCTCAGGAGGGGCTACAAAACACTCGCTGGAAAGAGATGGACTGACCTATGTGAAGCCCCAAGGACAGCAATACACGAATGACAGGTCATGTCTGCTGTCTCCACACACAATACTCTTGCCTTGCTACAGGGCAACAATGCTGGCCCTGGCTTGTTAAATACAGTCAATAAAACCTCAAAAAACCCCAAGTCCTCCCCACAAAGGAATCTTTTGTAAGTAAAAACAATGGCAAGAAGGGAAGAGGGGACATCTCTGCCTTGGAAAACTCTCATTTGGGGGACTTATAACAATTGGGGGATTTATAAATCCAAATGCCCTAGTGCCACACACACAGTATTTTTCCTCCTAGTGGTCTCAAACAGTCCCCAGAAGCAGTCGAGAGCTGCGCACCCACAGTGCCCCCCAGGACACTGGCATGTGACTAATAGGAGTAACAGGCCTGCACTGCCTTTTTGCTAGTTCTCTGCTCCACAGGTATCAAGGGCCCCTCTGTCCCCAGAGTCCCACCATCATCAGGCTACACTTACAGGA